TAGTCCTCTTTTAAATCAAAAAACACAATGTAATGATTGAAGTTTAAATACCTAGAAGCAAGTCTACCCTTCAAACCCAATTTTCCTAATCCAACTGATAAGAGGTTGGGGACGGAGAAGCAAAACTTAAAAATAAGAGCATTCGCAAACGGCTCGACTAAGGAAGAAATGTCATGATCAGGGAAACTAACCGTGAACCGTCCCTCCTCAGAGCGCGTGATAGTTCCCCGTTGCTTGTCTCGAAAGGACTGGAGCGATCGTCTTTGGTAGCCCGACTTGCCGGCTGGATTGCCGGTAATCGCATCCCGGAAGGATCGGGTGGTGGCGAGGGCCAATGTCGGTATGGATGAGCCCGTCGGGGGGTGTCCGGTGGCTCCAAAGGTGCCCAATGGGGGCTGACCGGATCTAGCGGCTTGTAGGGTCGGGCCTGAGGTGTCGGCCGTCGTAATAGAGGAGCCCGACGCAACGGTAGAGCCGCGTCTTAACATACCGAATGAAAAGGAGTGGACTCCGGTCACTTGGTGGTGGACGTCGCCGGCGCCGGCTCCGGCCCTGAGGTCGCCGGCCGGTGGTAGAAGGCCGGCGGCCGCCGGCAGAGTGGCTGTGGTGGAGGTCGGAGGGGAAGATGCAGTAATATGCTGTGGAAGAGAGATGAATGGGCTTGGGAAGAGAGGTTGGGCTGGGGTCTTATGATTAGTGGTAATGGGCTGGGAGTTGGGCCTGGGAGGTGGTCCAAGAATGGATAGAGGTTGATGGGTTGATGGGTTATCAAGGCGCGAGGCCCAACAAGGAGGGAAGGGGCCGATGGAGATTTAGAGAGGCGGCCCACATCACCTAACTTGGATATATTATCATGCGGTTCAGAGTACGCCACGTGGCTGGGGAGCTTAAGTTTATGGTTGCTCAATGGGGCGCCGCTGTCTGAAACATTGTGGTTGGACATGGTGAAATTCAAACCAAACGGTGGCGGGGCGGTGAAATCAGAGCAAAAGGTCGGTGGAAGAGAGCCAAAGCGAGGGGGGGTCACGATTTTTTGGATAGCAGCTTCACCGGAAATATCGGGAATGGCCATGGGCGCCGAGGAAGAGGTCAGAGCGGCGGCGGGCAAGAGAGCCAAGAGAAATTTCTGGACGGCAGGGTGCGCGAGCATGGAGCTCAACTCCGACGGAAGGGAGCAGGCCGGGAAGTGGTTGGTAGGCGACGGAGCTGAAGTTAGGGCCGTCAGGAGAGATGGGGGAAGGGCCATGAGGAAGGACGGAAAAAACGAAAAAGATAGATTGATGGCCGGAGGCCGCCAGCAGCGGCGGCCGGCGAGCTGGCTAGGAGACGGAGGTGGATGAGGGAGCAAGAAGAAGATGGAGGATGATGGCTATGGATCTGTATCCGTATACTTTTTTCATTGTAGATAGAATTTAAACGATTGATGACTGCCTTCCTTCTAGAGCTATTAAGTTGACGGTCGACAACTAACAATTTATGACATGTGTAATTTTGACAATTTATTAGGGAGTTATAATATAATTGTGACGTTAGTTAGATATTCAAGATATAAAGAGTTCGCAAGGATCATAAATACATCCAAATAAAAAGGGACACATAGAAAGGAGAAGGTCTCTCCGAGATTTTATTGAGAACAATATATGAGAATTACTGCCAAATGTTTAGCATATGATATTCGGGATATCAAGTGTGGTAGTCAAGAATATTGTTGGTGGTCGTGAGGATCTTTGAGAAGTTAGTCGATTATTGCTTGAATGTGTGTGTACGCTTGACCTATATTTTGATGGAACTGCTTGCTTTGTGTAATGCCCCGAATATTTTTACTATTTATGGAGCTCGATTTTATTTTCATAAATAACAAGTTTTCTTATTTGATGCATTTGATTATAATTATTTGCATTAAATTGAGTATTAAGTTTTAATTCTAAGCCATGGAGAATTTATTCGATTTTTAATTTTAAAATCGAATTTATTTAGCCTAAGTATCGATTTTATTTTTAAGATAAAATCGAGCCTTAGAATAATCGGAATTTTATTAGATCGGGCAGAAGCCCGGATGAGCCGAGCCTCGGCCCAAATCATTTTCGAGCAAGTCATCGTTTGGTCAAATAGCCTAGCCCATTTTAAGCCTGATTTTAAAGGCCCATGTAGTGCCCGTTTGGTTTTTAGATTTTCCAGTTTATTTATTTATTGGCATTCTATTTTATTTTTCTATGCCTTATTTATTTATACTCCCCCCATTTTTTACTAAATGTCGTTTTGAGAAGTTACACAGTAATTAAGATTTTTTTTTTTCCAATAATAACTCTCATTAATGAGTATAGAGATGGATGTTTTGAGAAAAGATGAAGAGTGAATATGAAAGGACATAGTGTATTTATTAGCTAGATGATAGTAATAATGGAAAAATATGTACAAAAGATCCAAAACTTCATTTATTTGGTAAATTGTTGATAAAATAAAAATAACATTTAAAAAAAAATAGATGTAGTATTATTTATTTAAAAAAAAAATATATATATAAGGATTGGTTCCAATGCATCCACTTATTTAAAGTGAGGACGTGAGACTCATTTCTAGCCACAAGATTTGGTACATCATGTGTGGCCAAGATTTACTCATTTCTTTTTATTATTTTAATTATTTAAATATTATTTTGACCCGTTGACTCCGGCGTTGACCGTTGACTTCTGGCGTTGACCGTTGACTTTCCGCGGTGACCGTTGATTTGCGACGTTGACCGTTGACTTCTGGTGTTGACTCCGGCGTTGACCGTTGACAACTAACCTTCCAACTAGGTTAGTTCTCTGTAGTTGCTAGGTTAGTTCTATGTAGTTGCTTGGCTAGTTCTCTGTAGTTACTAGGTTAGTTGTCTGTAGTTGCTAGGTTAGTTCTCTCTAGTTGCTAGGTTAGTTCTCTGTAGTTGCTAGGTTAGTAGTTGCTAATTTTTTTTTTAAAAACAAACAACGCCCCGGAGATTGGGCTGGATCCCAACCTGTGCATAGATTAAGACCCCAAAACATGGACCCAAAATAACAACAGTCTACAGCCTACAGAGTCTCACAATCAAAACAAAAAGCAATAACAATACAAAGTCTCTCTTCGGGCTAACAGGTGCTCGGGAATAAACGTCTAATCTAATGAAAGCAATAAACCTAATCTACTGAAAGCGAAACGATGGATATCCAAGCTGGTCCATTCGTACAAGCGTGCGAAGGCGGAGTAGAGCAGTGTCGGTCTGAAACGTATGTGGGTCTGGTATGGTGGCGCCAATGCTGGCAAGGTAGTCAGCAGGTCTGTTTCCCTCACGGAAAATGTGCGTGATCCTATGATGGACAGACCGAAGTAGAGCTCTAATGCACATAAGCGGGTGCTGAATCTGCCACGAGCCCTGATGAATCGAAGTCAGGAGGGTGGCGACAGCCGCAACATCCAGCTCGATCCAAATATGACTAGAAAAGTGGACAGCAATCTGAAGGCCAATTTGTAATGCCTGAATCTCTGCGTCGTAGCTCGAAGAGGCCCGAAGGGGCGCGTGGAAGGCGGTGATGAGAGCGCCGTTGTGGTCCCGGATCAAGCCTCCTCCTCCGACAGCTCCGGTATGGCGATCAAAAGAGCCATCAATGTTTAGCATGACCCAAGGAGAGTCGGGTCGAAGCCAAACAACAGCTCTGGGCCGAGGGGGCCAAACAGGCGGTGTGGCGGCATGTAGCCTGTCCAGCCTCGGGCCGTGAGCATGCCCAATGCTATGAGGAGTGAAAGATGTCTCTCTACCTGTAAAACAATGTGAGAAAACAAAAAAGTAATATCCCTATGCTTCGTACTATTCCTCTCCGTCCAGGTGAACCAAAGGATCAGGCAAGAAATGAGGAAGCCCACGTGTCTAAGGTGTGTGCTCTGTGAGAAAAAACTCAGGAGCTCAAAGAAACTGTCTGTAGTGGGTAAGGATATATGGGTCCAAGTGGCAAAGTTCTCCTACACTCTCCTCAATATCTCACTCTCTAGAAAAAGGTGGGTAAAAGTCTCAGTCTCATGGCGTCCAGTCTCAGAATAACACACACACCGAGAGGAGAAGGAGATCCCCCTCGCGTGAACACAGTATCCACGGGTATCCAGCGCAAGAAGAGGCGCCAAAGGAATACCAAAATGGTAGGGGTGAAAAGGTCGCTCCAGATGGCCCCGAAGAGAAGATGGTAGGGGTGAAAAGGTCTGCACCCAAGCCGAGGTAGTAGAAAACACACTCGATGATGTAAGTCTCCACCTCATGCCATTTGAACCATCCCCCGAGATGGGAATCTGCTGGATCTGATCTAATAAATGGTCGCTAAAACACGCACCATAACCCAACTCTCTATCAAGCTTCCCCCTAAGTTAGTAGTTGCTAGGTTAGTTCTATGCAGTTGCTAGTTTAGTTCTCTGTAGTTGCTAGGTTAGTTGTCTATAGTTGCTATGAGTTGTCCGCATTTTTAGAGTTGGGCGCATTTTAAGAGCTGATCGCATTTGATCAGCCCCCTATATATATATATATATATATGGTTGGGTTCACATTAGAATGGTGGTTAGCGAAAGAAATAAGAATACATCGTGAACATTTGATCGGATGATCTAATGGTAACAAAAAATCTAGTATTTCTTTAGTCATTAAAGGCATTTTGGACATTTTGATTATAAAAATATGGAACAATGCCAACTAACACTCACCAGACCAATGATTTAATGCCATGTGGCCATTACACATCACACACCCCACCCCACACCCACCCTCTCACCCTCTCTCAAGCACTGAAACACACATACCTAAATCTGAACACACGCACGCACCCCACCCATTCTCACCCTCTCTCACACACTGACACACACACCCATAATTAATTCAAAAAACACACAGCACACACATCAAAACACACATAGCATACACACCAAAACACACACACGCACACACACACACATACACCACACACATACACACAAAGTGCCGTCGAACTGACATACACACACCGCCGCCGCCGCCGAATTCCTCCAAGCTCCCCCTCCGCAAAATCCCCAGAGACTGTGGCCTCCCCATCATCGGTCCCGGGAAGGACCGACAAGATTTCTTCTACAACCAAGGCCGGGAAGAATTCTTCAAATCCCGAATCAAAAAATACAACTCCACAGTCTTCTGAACAAACATGCCGTTGGGCCCCCTCATCTCTTTCAACCCCAACGTCGTCGTTTTGCTCGACTGCAAGAGCTTCTCGACCCTCTTCGACACCGACAAGGTCGAGAAGAGGGATCTCTTCACCGGCACCTACATGCCCTCGCCGGAGCTCACCGCCGGCTATCGCACCGTCTCTTTACTCGACCCCACCGAGCCCAACCACGCAAAGCTGAAGAAGCTCGTCTTCTTCCTCCTCACCGCCGGGAGCACGTGATGCCGGAGTTCAGCTTCTGCTACTCGGAGCTCTTCGAGAGCCTGGAGTCAGATCTGGCGGCCTATGGAAAGGCCGATTTGTGTTCGGCCAACGAGCAGACGACATTTAATTTCATAGCACGTGCGTTCTACGATGCGGACCCGCGCGTGGGCATGCTTGGGTCGGACGGGCCGAAGCTGGTGAGCAAGTGGGTACTGTTCGACCTCTACCCCCTTCTGATTTTGGGCCTCTCGTCTGATCGAGGACGGCCTCCTCTACACGTTCCCCCTCCCGCCTTTCCTCATGAAGAAGGACTACTGGAAACTGTACGATTTCTTCTACCAAAATTCCACGGCCGTTCTCGAGCACGCGGAGAAGCTAGGTATCGGGCGGGAGCAGGCCTGCCACAACTTAGTCTTCACCACGTGCTTCAACTCCTTCGGGGGTATGAAGATCCTGTTCCCCAACATGATGAAGTGGATCGGGCTGGCGGGGGCGGGTGTCCACGCTCGCCTGGCGGAGGGGGTCCGGTCGGCGGTCGAGCTCGGGCCCGTCACGATGGCGGCCATGGAAAGGATGCCGCTGGTGAAGTCGGTGGTGTACGAGGCGCTGTGGATGGAGCCGCCGGTGCCATCGCAGTACGGGCTGCTCGACGGGATCTGGTGGTGGAGTCGCACTGTTGTAGTTATTTTTACCGGAGTAGAATCGAAAGATTCGAACACCGGGTCGTGTCTCGAGGAAGGTCAGCCGGATTATCTTGTACGTATTTTCAATCACAAAAAGAGAAATTAAGCCCTAACACTCTAATCAGATTGATTTTGTTTGATTTATCAACTACGAATTAAACTGAATTAAATGAAAGCAAAATAGCGAATGAATTTACTGAATGAGTAAAGTGCTAGAGAATCGGGGATAATTGTTTTCGGTTCTAACACAATCACCGGCAATCGATTGCTCGGTTAGAGGTCTTGAATCGTTTTTCGTTCAGAGGTTCACTATCAATAACTCTTCTTAACAAGAGAGTGAATGTAAACAATCAACTATCAATTCCAACAACACATAGATTATATGTTTCTGAACAAATCTATTCTAAACGAGCCTAATTCTACCAACGTCTCCCCTCTCGGTTCTACACGTTGATTATCTAGGTTAGAAAGGTGATCAATCTACTAACCATATGATTCACACAACTCGAATAGACATGAACAATAAAAAACACTCAATTATAACGAACCTAATCAATCATCCCCTATCCCTAGCGAATGGATTTAGCTACTCATAACGAATTTAACATCAACATTCAAATTAACCGAAGCCATCATCATCAACAAAGCAATTGAGAAAAAGAACTTACGATTAATGATGAGAATCTAATGTCAAATCCAAGTGCATCCAAATCCAAAGCAAGAAAAATGAGTTTTTCAATCTCCAAGATAAATCAAAAGAGAAAAAGGATGAAAAGGAATGAGTTTCTCTAGAGAAAGAACGTAAAAAAGAAGTCTGAAAATTGAATAATGAACCCTAGGATCGAAATCTGATGTTAAAATCCCGTCCTCGTAAATCGCGCTGGATAAGTCGCGACTCGCGAGACGGTCTTTTCCTTGCTCGCGAGTCGCGTGTCTTCAAAATGTTCAATTCCCGGGTCTGGTCACGACCCTATCTCGCGTAGGGGTCTGCTCCTCCACACATGCAGCAGTCACCGCCGTGAACCCCTCGGCGTCGACCTTCTCACGACAACGACGCCGTCCACTGTCACTTTCGTCGACCACATTTGCACTTCTGTCCCGCGAGCACGAGCCATTTGTGGTCGTCACTTTCGCCGAGCGAGCCGCCGTTAGACATCGAGCGAGCCAAGCGGACGATCTCTCCCGCCCATAGGATTTGTCGTCTCTGAGCTCCGTTTTTCTGATACGGAATCTCGACCATCCTCCCCTATCTTGAAGGTCACAACTTCAAATATTCAGTCTATGATGACTCAAATCGCAGTACAACAGAGCAGTGAAAAATTATGATTTCACATAAAATGACAATCACATTCATATTGGATGTTCGAATCTCAACTTTGGTTCATATAACGTCTCGACAGCAAGAAAAATCACTTAGACATCAGAAACGAACGAACATAGTGATACTTTCACAACAACTAATGACGTTCGATAAGTATTTTACGAAACATTATTTGAATCGAACATAGTTATCAACACATGTCAAATTTACGAACGTCACACATAATTATAATGATTGTAAAGTTTAGTAAAATAATTTACCGAATTTATTTATAAAAATCAGAGTTTATTTTTCGCAAAATCCCAATTTAAAACTTTAACATTCAACGGGCGCTACTTAAACAACTAAAGCAAATAAACATTTACACAGATAAAATCTAACAGTTCAAAATAAAATCCCAATTATTCATAATCCTCAAATCCAGTCATGCATAATTAAATACTTCAACGGAAATCCAATGGTCTAACTGACATGTTCAAAATAATCAAAGCGGAAGCATAATTATTCAAAGTTAAACAATGGTCTATCGAGATAATAAAAACGGAAGCAAGTAATACACAATCCAACGACCACCACTCAATCGTCCCTCGCTACCGCCGCCAACCAATGCTCAACCTAAAAATATAGGAAGAGGAACAAGAGGACAGAAAAGTAAATGGGGGTGAGTACAACAATCATACTCACCATTATCGCACAGTATATTTCGCATAAATATCCATAACCATAAATAATGTATGCATAGAATCCAGATCTAACTCCCTATTAGGCCCTATCGCAAACCTCCTATGTACATACAACAAACCTCCCGACTAGACATCGGCGAGGATGTAACTGGAAGCACTCCCACCCCGGATGCAACGGGCATAGGATATTATCCAGGAGACAGTGAAGTTGAATTACCCCTCCGCTCTACACGGATTCGGGCGTTCAGACAATCCCCTCCGCTCTACACGGATTCGGGCGTCCACCTCCCGGATGCAACGGGCAGGTAACTTCCGCTGATTATGCATTCGTCAAAGGAACTACCATCGGGACACTTAGACTGGGGTTCTCACGCATACAAAAGCTATCGCAACAAACATTTATACGAAATAACAAGTGCGATAAATGTAGATTCAACATAAATGAACCCACCTGGTAGCAATCGGAATCAACACAAAATAAGGGAGGCGGCGAGATCGACTCGTCAAACACCTACATTAGTAAAATAGCCTTATCACAGACTATTCTATAATCACTAAGTCTAACTAAGTGCATATAATCGTTTAAATACGCATTAAAGCAAAGAAACACATTTTCGAAAATATCACATAAGTTTTCGAAACTTGACCCGGGCAGCGTTTTTAAAATCGACATAACTTTCAGCACACAACTCATATGAACATGAATCAAGTTGCATTGGAATCCTAAGACACTAAAAGCAAATAAGGTCATATAACAGATGATAAATCAACAAACATTAAATATTGAGTTATAGTCCAAAACTGGGAAAATGCACTTGACCAGACTTCAGTATTTACTATATAACTGGAGCTACATGAATGCTTTTGATGAAATTCGAAAACTACATGATAGGAAACTCAAATGTCTACAACTTTTCTGAAGATCACATTGTCAAGTAATCACATATTCAACGAGTTTAAGCACAAAACATGTGATTCAGTAAAACTGTCAGAAATAAACATGTGATATGGACAACACCTCAGTTTTTATCATTTATCTAGAGCTACAGACCTCTAAATGATATGGTTCAAATCCAAAATCAAACATTAAGCATGCCTCTAAGACTTTCAGCTAGAACACAGAATCATATGAGATCATTTGGATAGTGAAAAATTGGTTAACATTCAGTTTCAGATTTCTGCCAACATGATGATCCCTAATTCATGCATATCTAACTTCATAAGATCATAACTCGAGCCACAGAGCACATATCAACATGAAATTTATCTCATTTGAAAGGTACGAGACAGATATATAACTTTCATGAAGAGTGTAAGTTCATACGAGCACATTTTTACATGAAAAACAGATCAACCATCTAACACATTTATGCTGCTGGTTTTAGGAAAAACTGGACGTACAACAAATCTCGTAAAAATCATAACTTTTTCGATATAGATCAGAATCAAGAAATTCCAAAGCCCAGGTTTAGGAAACTGAACATACTACATATCTCATGAAGGGCACAACTTTAAATATTCAGTCTATGATGTCTCAAAACGCAGCACAACAAAGCAGTGAAAAACATGATTTTATATAAAATGACAATCACATGCATATGGGATGTTCGAATCTCACGCTCGATTCATATAGCATCTCGACAGCAAGAAAATTCATTTATACAACAACAAGGAACAAACATAATGAGGATTTCAAAACATCTAATGATATTCGATAATTATTAGACGAAAAATTATTAGAATCGAACATATATTCGTCAACCCATATCGATTTTACAAACGTCACACATAATTAACGATTGTGGAGTTTAGTAAAATAGATTTACCAACCACCAATGGGGAGGATAGTTGAGAGTCGATATCGGAGTGATGGAGCTCGGAGACGACAAATCCTACGGGCGGGGAAGATCGTCCACTAGGCTCGCTCGATGAAGGTGGTGACCGGAAGTGGCTCGTGCTCGCGGGACGGGGACGCAACGGTGGTCGGGAGTCGCTATCGCGTGGAGGCTGACGGCGAGGGGCTCGTGTCGGCGGCTGCTGCGAGCGGGTGGAGGAGCACTGGCGGTGGCGGCTTTTCCCGACGGGACGTGTGGCGAGCTCGGAGGTGGAGTACGGAGATGACAGACGGAATGACGGTGGCTGGGAGATGATTCCAGCGGGAAAGAAAAATGGAAGAAAACAAAATAGAGAGAGGGAGGGATATGGAGAGATGGAGAATGACGTGAAGTTTGGGATGAGAGTGAGGGGGGTTTTGAACCTTCTTTAAAACACCAAAATAAAAACTTTGTAACTCCCAAACTAAAAATATGGAAGGTGGCATGAGAGGGGGATCGGGTAGCACAAAATGAGGGATAAGATCAGCTTCAAATTTAAATTCAAGATTTCAAACGTTTCATGCATGCATGAGGGATTTAAATTTCCATTTGAATTTCAAATCTCCAAGACTAAAACTCACGCATGAAATGGGAGGTGGCGGCCCGGTTCGAAAATTTAGCACGTATACTCGCTCGGTTCGGAGTCTCGGTTATTTAATATTTTTGGTTCGACTGGAAATAAAACAAATAATACTATTCCGCTCGACATTAAAATTAATACAATTAGCAATTACGAGCATATAATAAAAATAAAATTATCGAGCCCGAATAATTAATTCGGAAAATAAAATATATGACAAATAATAATATTCAATTATTCTCGAACAAATGGGGCGCTACACCAATGCACGTGATTATATTTGAAATGGTGTTCAAATATAATTGATAAAATCAATCTATGAGATGAGATAAAATGATTAAGCTGTTTGGATAGACACATGTTCAAGTCTTAAGCTTAATCGAGTGGTTCGTGAATGAAGGGACCGTATCACTATTGAATTCTAC